TCCAAAGACCAGTCTGAACTGGATCAGAACCGGCTTTAGATTATCTGGAATTAACAGAATATTTGATGTCATCTTCTTAACATTTTAGGAAATTGTATTTGAATAAAATTATTTGAATGAATAAATTAAACAATATTTAAAGATTTAAAGACTAGAGGCTACTGGGTCTGATGAGTCTGAGGTCCTGCTGGGACCAGGTCCAGCCCATCATGATGACCTGCTCTTGGAAGGGCCAACATCCTGCTCCTGCGGGGCGGGACCAGCTCTGTGACAGACAGGCCTCCCGACCAACCAAAACTCAGATCCCACCGGAACTCCGCCAATCCTCGCATCCAGGGCGGGGTCAGGGGGTCCAAACCACACGGAGAGAGGGAGAGAGAGAGTGTCCCCCCAAAACTGACATGTAGACTGCGGAGGACTCCGAGAGACTGGGGTGCCAAGAGGAGGGATACAAGTCCGAGCTGGACTCAGAGACGCTTCGGAACCACTCGGACCCGGCTCCGGGGACATGCAGCTGCAGAACCGGGAGGAAACCCTGAGTCTGTGAGGCTGAGAGCCGCCGAGGCTCCGCTTGTTTCCCGGGACCAGCAGCCGAGCAGCCGGGCTCGCTTCCCCGCTCCGACCCGCAGCCAGAGCCCGCCCGATGTGCGACCTGCTGCCGGCCCCCCTGCCGGGCCCCCAGCCCGCCGAGAAGAGGGGCAAGATGAAGAAGTTGAGGAGAACTTTGTCGGAGAGTTTCAGGAGTATCGGTGAGTTCCTCTTCAGTTTTTCTGCTCTTTGTGTGAGAGGAGGATCTGATCTGATCCAGATCCAGATCCAGCTGCTGCAGCTGGGAGGAGGGGGGTACCCCGTTTGGGTCAAGATCTTATCTGCTTCTAACAGAACCAACCAGTGCTGCAGAGACCTGGTCCTGGTCCTGATAGAACCAGAACCAGAACCAGAACCAGAACCAGAACCAGAACAGTTTCTCTTCATTCTTCTGTCAGCTCAGAAATATTTTAGGTTCTGTTTGAGCAACAAGCAGAACCGAGTCATTTCGAACCCAGCTGAGAGAAGTCGGGTTTATTTTAAAGTTCAGGCATGTTTTACAGATTTTTACTGTTTTAGATTTTTCATTTTCAATCTATTTCTTTTTTTATTTTTATTTCATTCACTCAAAAAACAAAACAAAACAAAACACATGAATAGTTCCCAACTAAAACCATCAGGAATAAAAAGCTGATCTACAAACAAATATGTTAGTCTTTATTTCAGTTTTTGACCTTTTTCAGGTTGTTTTAACACTTTATATAGATAGATAGATAGCTATAAATTATTGATTTATTTAATGCCTCTAACCTCATGAAAAGCTTCACTCTGATATTGAGGACATTTTATACTAGTTGTCNATCACGTAGCCATACGCAATGACGTAATCCCGTCACATGGGTGGAACCATGTGTTTTGTCAAGCAGAAACCCCCACTCCCCCTTTCACCGTGAACTTCTGCACTCCACAACTCCTCCTGTTTTCTGTGAAAAAGTAAAGTGGGAGGGATTTAAGTATGAAAAAATAAAGATTATATGAGGAATAAAAGAAATTAAACTACAAATGGCTGGTTAATGCCCGCGATTCGGCTCCTATCGTTCATTGTAAGGAGCCGTTCAAAAGACTCGGATCGTTCGCCGTCACATCTCTACCTACCTGACCCTAAAACTAACCTAAACTCCACTCAAACCTTGGTCCTAAACCCAACCCCCACGCCCAAAATCAGCCTCTGAAGTCGTGGGCAAGGGCGTAATCACTATCTTAAAAGTGTGTGTGTGTGTGTGTGTGTGTGTGGGGGGGGGGTTAAGGGGGGACAGAGGGCACAGATATTGGAAGAGGGGACATGTCCCACCACGTACGTATGGTGGTTACGCCCATGGTCGTGGGGACCAGGCTTTGATCCCCAAAAGGCTGCAATTTCCTGAAAAATCGTCCCCACTAAGTAGTAAAAAAGAGGGCACACACACACACACACACACACACACACACACACACACANGATGTGAGACTGAAGGTGTGAGACTGAAGACCTGAGACTGAAGACCTGAGACTGAAGACCTGAGACTAAAGATGTGAGACTGAAGGTGTGAGACTGAAGGTGACAGACTGAAGACCTGAGACTAAAGACCTGAGACTACATATGTGGGACTGAAGACCTGAGACTGAAGACCTGAGACTGAAGACCTGAGACTGAAGATGTGAGACTGAAGACATGAGACTAAAGACCTGAGACTGAAGATGTGAGACTGAAGAACTGAGACTGAAGACCTGAGACTGAAGACCTGAGACTGAAGATGTGAGACTGAAGGTGTGAGACTGAAGACCTGAGACTGAAGATGTGAGACTGAAGACCTGGGACTGAAGAACTGAGACTAAATATGTGAGACTGAATACCTGAGACTGAAGACCTGAGACTAAAGATGTGAGACTAAAGATGTGAGACTGAAGGTGTGAGACTGAAGGTGTGAGACTGAAGACCTGAGACTGAAGACCTGAGACTATATATGTGGGACTGAAGACCTGAGACTGAAGACATGAGACTAAATATGTGAGACTGAAGACCTGAGATTGAAGATGTGAAACTGAAGACCTGAGACTGAAGACCTGAGACTGAAGACCTGAGACTAAAGATGTGAGACTGAAGGTGTGAGACTGAAGACCTGAGACTGAAGACCTGAGACTGAAGACCTGAGACTAAAGATGTGAGACTGAAGGTGTGAGACTGAAGACCTGAGACTAAATATGTGAGACTGAAGACCTGAGCCTAAAGACCTGAGACCTAAGACCTGAGACTGAAGACCTGAGACTAAAGATGTGAGACTGAAGACCTGAGACTGAAGACCTGAGATTGAAGATGTGAAACTGAAGACCTGAGACTGAAGANATTTTATTATTGACAACATATTGTCAATGATCAAAGTTTTAGGTGAACATAGTTATTAAATGAAGGATCTCAGACAAACTTGAACTTGATCTGATACCCCCCACCAAACTTGTTATTTATTTTGTCTATTTTTAGTATTTTGTTTCACTTTATTCTTGTCTTGTTTTTATTTGAATTTGATATGTGGAGCCTCAAGCACTATGTGAATGGCCCTCTTTGCAATTTTATTACTTATAATTGTGTGGGGGGGGAGGGGGTCTTGTTCTTGCTACGTGGTGGGGACGATTTTTCAGGAAAATGCAGGCTTGTGGGGACCAGATGCTTTTTGTGGGGACCGGGCACAAATTTGGAAGCTGATTTTGGGTGGGGGTTGGGTTTAAGACCAAGGTGTGAAATGAGTTTAGGTTAATTTTAGGGTCAGGTAGGTACCTGTGAGGT